CCCAGAATCTTTTAACATTAAAGAGAAGAAAATGGAAATATAACTCCATTACACAGAATGAAGGTTGAGGGTGTTCACATCAGCATGAAACATCAACAAGAAAACTGCTTTTGTGCCAGGGCCCAAAAGGGGCATTGCAGACCCAGTGAGGTCTAGAAAAGCTCACCTAGGAAAAGTCAAATGTGCCATCACAGCGCCATCACAGTGATGGCATGACCTTGAAAAAAACGAGCTAACCTCTTTTAGTCTCATTTTCCTCATCTGTAGAATGAGAACCCTTCCAGCTCTAATGCTATATGCCTATGTGTTCTTTCCTGGCAAGAGTGAAAATGCAGCTCAAGACGACCCACTAATGACAGTAGTTCCTGAGGGCATATTCCGTGCCTGGCATTATTCTAAGTGCTTCACATGTACTAATTTGAACCGTCACCTTAGAAGGCAAGTATCCTTCCATTCATAAACAAGAAAACTGGGGCATAGAGAGGTTAAACTATTTGCCTAAGATCACAGAGACAGAAAGGGATAAAGCCAAAATGCCATGCAGATAGATGCCGTTAACCACTACAGTCTCTGCCTTTGCTAATAAAGAAAGCAAGGTGCTGTGCATGTATTTAATTATGCACTTTAATGTCCACAGGATGCTACCAAAGTCCTTTCTTGCTAGCCCTCTAAATTGCAATCACCTTTCCTGCAGAAAATTACAGTTTTCCTTGTCTTTTGTTTATACCACTGATAAATTATATTTTAAAAGAGACTACATGGATTACTGGTTGTAAATTACAAATATCTGCCAACTAATTTTCCTGCAGGTATAGAACTGCCCCCAAAAATGTATTACAGGACTAGAGATAGTATGCACAAAATTTCCTGATCCTTAGGAGATGACAGGCAAATTTACCTGCCCCCTTCAGCCTTCCACCCCCCAAGAAAGGGCTGAAGAACTGATTTCTCCCTATTGGCATCTTTCTACTCACTGAGGGTACTGAAATGTGGTCTGCAATAATAAAGCCAAGTTCATTCTACAATGATTGGGTTTGTTGGTTGGTTGGTTGGTTGGCTGGTTGGTTGGCTGGCTGGCTGGCTGGCTGGCTGGCTGTTTGGTTTTGGAAGAATTATGATTCTTTCTCTATCTAAAGACAAAAGAAACACTCTGATATATCAGCTCCTAGAAAAACACCTGATACTGGAAAGCTGATTTGTAATAAAAAGTACTTATGGTTATTGTTTTAAAGATTTTGCATACTAAATCACAGTAAAAGTAAGAGGGCAGATCATATTCTCATTTAAAATCATGTTCATTAAAAGTACATACATATTTAATAAAAGTATATACTCTTACACGACTTTCAGTATCATACCAAAAATGTTTTAAAAACTATGTTATTGCAATATCTGACCACTTAAAACTTATTGGAACAAAATTTTTCCATTTGAGTTGTAAAATTGACTATTTCTAATTATAAATTTTAGCCAACACAAACCTGACTAGAGCCAGCTGCTATTTTGACAAATATATATGTATATAGAGAAATATATTTATATATATATGAAGGTTGATTTTCTATATATTGACATATATACGTGTGTGTGTGTGTGTATAAAATCAATATTTCCTAACAATTACAGGCACATTTTGAGAAAAGCTTTCTTATTTAAGACATAATAAAGGAAAGAGAATTTAATTCTGAAAAAGGATCTTCTTGCATTTAGTAATGAGAGCCAATCCTAGAAAATGAAGTGGCATCATAAGACTTAGACTACTTAAAGTTTGGTCTCATTAATTCCCTGTTTTCCAAGGCCAGGAACAAAGTTTATTTTGCTCATTATGCCTAGTACTGTTATTAAAATTTTCCATGATGAGCAATGGAAAATATTTTCATATTATTAAACAGAATATTATAATTCTGGACATGCTATCATGGGTTCTATTAACTTTGTTTCATGTCTAGATAATTCTTAACAAATATGGGGTTAAACCTACTTAATAGCTTTTCATGTAGCAAATATCTAGGCAAGATTGTGGAGTTTCAATTCAGAATTTATTTTTACAGTATAATAAAAATACTTTAAGGATTACTTTAACGTCAGTGATGCAGAATCATGGATTGACCCTGGATTTAAATTAAGTGAAACTTGTTTCTCAATAATGTCACTTAGGGAAATACAAAATCAAGACAAAGCTTACTTTTTTTAATAGATATTTTCAACACTTCATACAAAGGCAATTACATACAGCAAAAAATCACTGTGTACTAGGATGATGCTAACATGATTGTGCAATCCAAATGTTCTCAGATCTATGGATGTGCATCAAGAAAACTGCCAGACTTTTTCTACTACAAAAACTGATGGAAATCAAAATCAAGCAGATTCATGGGAAAGAAGGAATCTGTCCAAGATTTCAGGCAGCAAAAATAGATCTGCTGAGCTCCTGAATTACATCAGAGCCTAGCTATTCTAGTAAAGTGCTGAAAGGTGGACGCCTGGGCCAGCCCCAAAGCAGCTGTTTCCATCTCCCGAGGTAGATCTCCGGGAAGCCAGGCTCTGGTCAGCCTGAGAAATGAACTCACTCCTCTCCACGCAAACTTTGTTCTATGTTAACACCGCCCGTCTTCCAATGCTCCTACCCCAACCATCTTTGACTATCTGGACGGAGAACACATTTTGGAAAGAGGAACTGCTCTTTATGACATCACTAAAAGCAAAAGAGAAACGAACCATTGGGAACTCAGAATTGGCCCAGTCCCTCCTAAAGTCCAGTTTCAGAGGATGTGCTTATTCCTCCCTCCCAGAGATTCCCAGTTCCCACCTTTCCTCCACCCTCCCTGATTCCAGAACATTTCTGCACAGCTTGTCACCTCAAAGGATTTACATAGTAGTCAGACCATGGGCCAGGTATAGCAAAAGAATGAGATCCATCTGGACTGCAACCTGGGCTACAGCCACACCATGGGAAGTGCCTGGGTTTTTTGTTGTTGTTTGTTTGTTTGTTTTTGCTAAAACAATTTAGCTGAATGGCAGTGAAGATTGGAAATAATTGACTGATCCATAAAAAGTAAAAAGGCCTGTGTAAACTTTGTAAAAGGATACCACTCCAGCATTTGCATTGAGTGAAATAGAACATAAAGGGATTGTGTAAAGAAACACAAATACAAAGATCAAAATGAATCAGAGAAGTACGCTTTCAGCTCAGCTCCACTGAATCTCTGACTGACCCATTCAGGAACATCTATATGAAGGCAGTCAAAGAAATTAAAAATCCATGTCATAGCAAACAAAGTAGTGTATGAAGGGGAGGTACAAATTTCCCACTTGTCTTTAAATATATTAATGGCACTATAAATAGGCCATCACCTGCTCCTCCTTTTCCACTTAGAAGAGAACAAGCCAGAACAGGTTTACATTACAGACTCAACAGAATCACCAGCAGCTATATCCTGGCAAAACAGATTTCCAGAGGAAAACTGACATGCTTTCTTCCCTGAAAGTACAGGAACAAAAAGGAGATGCTTTTAGAGATGCTGCTTGCCAATGAGACTGAGCAGACCGAAGTCTCTCTCCAAGTCCTTTTTGGTCCTAAAAAGTGGTGAACAGAAATAAAGATGCCCCTCCAGGAAGGCTTGGAAGCTGGGCTGGTTTTAAGAGTATGAGGACTGCCCTAAACTCACACCAGGACAGAGGGTCAAAAGGTGCTCTCTGCTCTCTGCTTAAAGTGTAAGAGCCAGGTGTGCTCTGCGACATCACGCTCTCCTAGACTCTGTTTTTAATCTAATCTCACTGTGTTCAGCAGAAGACAGCATCCTTTCAGTAGTGTGGGGGGGAAAGAAAACCCTGCTTTTTAGAAAGACCCCATGATGGTAAGTTGTGCATAACGTTTGAGCACCATCTGGCTCAGGATATCAGAAAAAAAACTGCCAAATAGCAAAGACGGCTATTTTGCACACTGAGTGAAACATGGGCAAACATCCACTTCTTTGCTCACCAGACACAAATGTAGGTTTGTATTATAGTCGAAGCTAAAAACATGTGTGTGCGTGTGTGCGCGCGCGCGCGTGTGTGTGTGCGCGCGTGTGTGTGTGTGCGCGCGCGCGCGTATCATTCAGTCGAGACATCCTAGATCAACCACTGTCCAGAGATACCTCACTGGGTAATCCATGCCTGGCCCAAAATCTGCACAAACACATAGGCAGTGCGAAAGTTTGACCAAACAGAAGGATCAGTGACAGGAAGTTTACCGCCATCTACAGATTTTTCCCTCACTGCTAAACGGAGCAGCCAAGGATTTCCGCTTGAAAAATACAAATTGACAAAATTGACATCAGCTGTTGGGTTGCATGGTGCTCCTACTGATGAAATCCACTTTAACAACCTGTACAAAACAGTGCACACAGTTAACCACCGCTCCAGAAATAGGAAAACGTTTACGCTTGTTACTTAGAGACTGAGAGGATGCAGAGCCTCAACAGGTCAACACCCCATCCCTTTCTGTCTATGGGACTAAATAAATACAGATTGTAAGGCAAAGATGTGCGATAATATACTTTTTCTTTTTTTCACATTTTCGTCCTTATTAACCACTTTCCCAAGGCAGGCTTTTCACAGAGCTAAATAACATCCAACTCAAAATGAAACACCAGTTAGGGCCGGGGGTTGATTTGGATGGAGACCTATTGGAGCCGAGCGGATGTGGCAGGCAGCCGAGCGGTGCAGAGCACAGCGGAGTTTGCCTGTGGGTGCGCAGAGATGGGGGGAAACGCACGCCCCGCGGCCCACCTGGTGAACACCCTGGCAACTTTATTTTGGGCAGAACCGTCCAAGGAAACTTTTCCCGTGCCCGCAGCCCTTGCCCCAGTCCGGCCAGCGGCGGGGCAGGCAAGTGGGGCAGGGAACCGAGGGGGAGGGGCCGCCCCGGGCGGGACGCTGCTCTGCGGGCGGGCTGGGTCCCTCTCTTCTCGGAGACCTGGAATGTGTGGGGCAGGCACTGCAGGGAGACCACTTACCAGCTGGAGCGCGAAGAAGACGGCGAGCAGGGCGAGACAGGCGCCCATGACGATGAGCAGCAGGAAGATGATGAGCGGGTGCTGCTGGCTCATGCAGTAGTAGGACTCATACAGCCAGTCCCGGGACCGCTGCAGCCCGTCCCCGCCGCCGCCGCCCGCCGCCGCTGCCGCCGCCGCCTCGGCGCGGTCCCGCAGGTAGCGGCGGCGCCGCATCGCCTCCTGCCACATCGGGGCGGCTCGCGGGGCGCCGGCCGAGCGAGCCCGGCCCGGGCTGCGCCGCCCGCTCGCCCGCCGCCGCCCGCGTCCCACCCCCGCGCCGCCTTGGTCGCCCGGCTGCCCGCGCCCTCAGCTGCGCGCAGGGGCCTCGGAGCTGGCGGAGCTCGTTGCCCCGGGCTGGGCGCTGACGCGCGGGCGAGGGCCGAGCGGCGGCCTCGGGGGCAGCTCCCGGCGCCGGCGCTGCCGCCAAGGCGCGGGAGGGGGCGGGTGCGACAGGGGGCCCTCGGCCCGCCTCTCCCCACCCCGCGTAGCGCAGCCAGGCCTCCACCCACCGCCGCCCCCCGACGGCCGAGCTAGTGGAGGCCGGGGGCTGGCGAATAAGGAGAAATGCAGGAAGCGGGGGGCGGGGGGGCACCAGCCGCGCCTCTCCCGGGTGTCCCCTCCTTCCGCCCTCCCACACTCAGCCACAGCGCGGTCCACCTCCTCTCCACTGCCTCAGAGCACAGACTGGGGGTTCCCACTCCCTGCCGCCCCTCCACTTCCCACTGCGCTTAGAGGGCTGCGGGGGCGCCTGGCCTCCTCTCCACCAGCTCCCAGGGCAACAGTGAAGGGTACTCCCATCCTCCAGTGTCCCCAACCTCTTGGTGGGATGCGGGAGTGGAGAGGCGTTCCCATACACTTCTTCACTATCTCTGAGCAGGGCAGGAAGATCTTCTATCCTTGAGTACCCCCTACTCAGAGGACAGCTGGCACTTCCTCCTTCACACTATCTGGATGCACGGACGTGGGGTCCTACTACCCTTGCCCCTCTTCAGTGGGTAGGGTTTTCCCACCCCCTCTTCACTTTGCGCAGCGGGGGTGGGCTTTCCACGCTCTTGCTCCCTATGACAGAGGGCAGGGGCCCTTCACTTTAGGAACGGATAGGCCTGGCACGCTAGGAGTCCCCGTAGCAGAGAACAGCCCCCATTGCGCAATGGAGGAGTGAGGCGGCTGCGATGGAACGCTGTATACCCCCGCTACGTCCTCGGGAGGCAGCCTCACTTGCGTCCTGCACTTTTCAGCCAAAGTCACACTTTGGAGGTGCTAAGTTGGTTACGGTTTTCCGTAAGGAGATTTAGGGGGCGTCCTCTGGCCAGTCATGGTCCCGTGAAACCCCTTCTGCCTGGCGGGAACGCAACCGAGCGCACGCCGAGGGAGCGTGGCTGGGCGCCAAAGCGGTGGGATGCGGCCGACGGGGTGGGCTCTGGGATTCACCCCCTTCCACGCCACCTGGAGGGACTGAGCGGGAGGCTCCAAAAACGCGGCAGGGTCCCCTCTCGACACGCCAGGGGTGAAGGCTGCTGGCTCGATACGCCCTGGGTCTCATAGCAAGTCTTCCAAAAGAGCCCATCCTTCTGGAGGATTTTTTCATGTTGGAGTGTTGCCTGACCCAGAGACCGGCAAATCTCACCTCCGCCCAAAGCCTAAGGAATCCAAGGCACAGCGACCCTCCCCTCTCCTCCCACCAGCAAACAGCTCCGGGGGGCAGGCAGGTGTGGTCTCTTCCAGTAGACTACCAGCGCTCAGGACTTTGAGTTCTGGCACACCTTACGTCTCGGACACCTTCTTGAAGTGTCTCGCTGCCTGTCCAGGCTGTCCTGTCTTCCTATGCAGGGACTTGTGATTTGGTTAGCTGTTTGCCAGTGATCAGGACTCAGGCTGCGCAGGAAGAGGGGACCGCGAGCCTTTCAGGGAGGTATTTTTAGCAGCAATTAATGCCTGTTCTGCCCAAGGGATATGACCAGAGAAAGGCACAGCTCCGCCATCCGCGGTGGTGGGGAAAAGTAGGACGGAGACTGAGAAGAGGACCTGGGCTCAGGGGCGTGTCCGGACTGGATCATTGGCCCAGGGTCCTGCCCACAAGGCTCCACCTGGTCCAGAACCCTTTCTCCTGCCCAAGACCTGGAGAGAAGGAGAAATGAGAGGAGGAAATGGATGGGAGAAAGTACCCCCAATGTCTCCTGCTGTTCCCATAGCCCATACCCACCGCCCCTGCCCCCCTTCTCCGTTGAGTTGATCGCCCCAAGCCCCCGCCCTGCCTTGCCTGTCCTCTCATACCACCCTGAACGGTCAACTGTAATTAGATAGTTCCAATCTCAGTCTTCCTGCTGGTCTAAACCCAGCCACAGGACGCAGTTCTTTTTGACCAGTGGGTGCTAGGGTTTTGCTGGTTCTAAGAGCAAGCTGCAAAGACAAATCACACTTAGAAGCATCCACAGCCTGATCTCCCCGAAGCAGACACAGTTGAGGGGGAAGTTGGCCACAGTCTCTGCTGTGTGGATTCCCTTGATTTCTCCAGCTCAGCCCAAGGTCTTTCTGGGTTTTGTAAAACAAAATTAATTGTAGACTGTAATAAAGAATTTTTTAAAAAAAAATACTTATTAGAGGAAATAGAGCAGCAGTCTAGGGGACACAGATCCAGGCGGCAACCTAAATTGTGTTTCCCCAGACAAAGGGGAGGCTGCCTTATGCCGGCTCAGATTTACGATTAGGTCCATTTTATGTAAATGTGGAATCCAAATCTGTACACGCTCTCACAGTCCTCATAGGTGGGCATTATGTGTCCTAACTGGGTGTTATGAGACAGTTCTGACTGGGGGCGACAGTGGTTGCAGTCTGTTGGTCATAAGAGGAAACCAGATAGACACTCATAATCGATTTCAGGTGGGGGTAAATGAGCAGGCATGGTGCAGGAAGCCAGGAGTTCAGTCTGAATTTCAGCAAGTGAATGCTAGACTTTTATTATACGTAAAATGTGGACCATGGGTGGACTATCTGGAGGCCATCTCAGCAGACAAATTCCTTCTCTTGGTTCATATCAAATGACTCTTTCTTCTTGGGGTCCACAGTTTGGGCAGAGCTGCGCATTTCCAGTCTTCTCCTGTTAGAGCAACATATTCATTTGTGTTTTCTCCGATTCTTGCTTCTTCCTTCACCCTTTGTATTGATAAATGTCTGCTTTCACCCACTCAAGAAGGAAAAGTAAATAATCCATAATTTAACTGTCTGCAAGAAAGAACTGAAAGACTTGTGAGGAAAAAGTAGATTTAGTTGATTATTTTCTCCTCTAATTCTAGCAGGGAAGTCAGATATTTTTAACAACAAGTATCCAACATATGTATATGCACCACATGTTAAAGGGGATGTAAGACTTTTGGGGAATTTTGTAAATATGGGGCAAACTATAATTAGAGAGGCACTGAACAAAGGGAATTTTGCACTTAATCCTTATGACATTTTTAGCATTTGTTCTTTCATTAGTTCATTCAACAAATATTTTTCTGGCTACCATGTGCCAGATGTTCAGAGAAAAAAAAGTAACTATGGAATTTCTGATGTGCTACTTTGTGAAAGAAGGCTACAAAAACCAAACCGAACAAAAATCAGCATTCATCCCTATCTTCCCCCAACAATTTAAATCTCATCATCATAGAAAAAGGTTGTGGAAGGAATATAACATAAAAATCAAGGACATGTCAGGCTTTGCTAAGGTTTTATTGGATTTTCTTGTTTGGTTTTAGCGTTGGTGCTTATTTTTATGGGGACCTGTGTCGTTGCATTATGTTTAATACAAAATAAAATATGAACCGGCACAGTTTATTATAGTTATTCTACCAGTGTTTTTGAATTAGTTGCACCAAGTATGCCTTTTTAAAAGTCCAAAACAATTGGAGTTTCTATTTGAAATAAAGTCTACGGCCATACCACCCTGAACGCGCCCGATCTCGTCTATTTGAAATAAAAAAGTAATAATAACCCCAAAGCAGCCTGAAGTAGAAAATGTCCTTTGGTACAAAGCCAGGAGCATGAAATACAGACTCTGGCAACGGAAGGACCCCCAAGGAGCCACCTACTTCACTGCTGCATCTGTCAGGTAGCAGAGCTGCTACGCCAAGATGAAGACATGGAGAGCACAGGGGTTCTTTCATAAATTTTCCCCACATCAACTTATTTGTGACAAAATGCACTAACTATGAAAAAGAAACCAACTATGGAAGTTTTAACTGGGGCTGAGGAAGTTTAGAGAGAGAGAGAATAAGCATTTAGGAGGAGACTGACTGACTGACTGACTGACTGACTTATTTATTTGCAACGCTAGAGGGCAGCCCTCTATTCTCAGAACCCAAGAGGCTGGCAGGCCTATAGGTGTGTGACTTGCACTGTCGCACAGGGCTCCACATTTGGTTTGAGGGTCTGCTGTCACCATCCTGAGATTCTTGGTAATTTTTGAACAAGAAATCACACATTTTCACTTTGTCCTGGGCCCTGAAAATTAGAGGGCCGGTCCTGCCAGCTGGTGACAGTAAACAGTATTCCCATCTCTGTCTGCTGTGTGCAGAGCCTCTAGGGTGCAGGCTTGGGGACAAGCAGGCGGAGATCCCAGGCCACCTCTACCCTACTAATCAGGTCATCTTTCACACACACTGTGACACACCTGACTGATGATAAATCTGATAAGTAATCATGCTGCAGGACAGGTTTTTGAATCAGTAGTTTGTGCTTTAAAAAGAACTCGTCTTCTAGTTCCTAGTCCAAATCCAGTTAGATTAGGGCAGTCAATTAGGGAGGAATTGTGTCCCTCCCCAATGCCACAGCCCTCTGATTAAATAAAGGCAGGCGGTCAAAGCGTGCCAAGGACAGACGCGGACATGTGCCAACCCACAGCACATTGTAAGGGCTGAGCACAGAGTATTTCCCTGTGTGTTCGTTTTTCTCTCTGGCAAATACATCACTGAAGTTTATATAATAAAGTATGAACAGTATGTCAACAGATTCATTATCATCATGAAATATGTCTTGTGTACCCAGATAACATTTGCATTTTTATTGAACCAGACTCTGTGGATACAGAAACCACACAACCATAGCCAGTTTATGGCTCCTAGAAGTCTCATTAACTCTTTGAGCTCACTAAGGAACTCCTTTGCAGTTCAGTTTTTTGGAACATCAGAAAAAAGTGGCTGAATACCATATACTCATTTTTTTTTCCCATTCAGTGCCGGATGATCGCAATATGTCTTTGAAAGATCCTACTTACTTGAGCAATTTGATAAATTACTTCTTAAGTGACAAAATGGGAATAAATATTTCATCGAATCATCTTTTAAATCTGATTCCAGGTAACCTATTGGGATTTATGGTCCTGAATATGTGAGAAAATGGTACAAGTGTTTTGGAATAGACCTTTCATAAAACC